CTTGCAGGTCACTGTTGGCCTCCACCGAGAGATTAAGCTGAATGTCCTGGTCTCCGTCTTCCTTTCCTCTGCCAAGAATCATCCAGTTTTCCAGCACATCCGAATCAGAATCTGAATCCGAGTCCAGATCTGCCACGAAAGGAGGAGCCGAGTCTGAATCTGAATCTGAATCGTCGTTGGATCCTGACTCCACGACCACCACTTCCTCGGCCATGTTCTTGAGTGCTTTCCACTGAGGAGGACATGAAGACGGGTCGGGTTTACTATTCGCCTTGGTGCAACCCTGTGACTTTTGACCTTTGGTGGTACATACACTGTCCTCCGTCTCTGTGGTGTCTGAAAGCAAGATGATATCCGGACCGGAGTCGATCACAATGACCTCGGAAGGTTCTGTGGGAGCGGGACGCTTTCTCTGTCCAGTCTGAGGTACTTCTTTCTGGGGTTGTTCCTGAGCAGAGTCTAAGGTGGAACAATATATTGTTAGTTATAGGGCTGCACGATGATATCTGAATAATATAATAATATCAGTATCGGCCAATAACTGCTTTTTTGAAAAATCATCGGCATTTGGGCTGATACTTAGATATGGACAATATTTTAAATTATTTTATTTTCAAATATTACACAATGTAACAATATTGAAATGAAATGAAGCCCTGAAGAAAATCCTCAGAAACAGCCCTACTTTGAACAAATCAAGGCATTGATGTGATCAATCAGAACAGTCAGGGCAGGCTTTAACAACATCCCATCAAGAGTCAGGCTAAGGCTACAGTTACAGCTATCAAAGGTTATGAAGGATTCTCTAGGATGCTTCAATATACTGCATGACATATCGCAGACATATGTGCAGCAATACAATCACAATATGGTGTTCCGTCCATATAATGCAGGCCTACCGGAGCCTGTATGGTCCTGATGGTTCTCCTGGTCCTCAGTAACGTAGTGGAGCTGGGAATAGAGCTGAAACTCCAGCTCACTGTCAGGCTCAGACAGGCTGGCGTCCTCCTCATCTTCCACACGGTACAGCTCATCTTCATACTCCTCCCGCTCCTGATACCCCCAGAACATCTTGAGGAAATGCCCTAAACGAAGACACAGGTATCATCACCATCAGTACCAACATTAAGCCACTATAAGCAGCTGTCAATCAGTTACAAGCGCAATGCATCTTAAAGACACAGTTCAAATTAAATTTGCTGGGCAAAAATCTTCCTCTAAACCGAAACACAGTCGATGGAGCTATGAAGCTACTCTCATTGTAATCTAACAAGTACTCTTACTGTCGCCAGGTTAGCATTGTGAAAACTACACGGCCAAATCATTGCAAACTTGCATCAAACCACTCTAACATTGTAAAAATGGACAGCAGTGTACTGTTCAGCTAAAAACAGTACTAAAAGACATCTTTGAATCCTGGATTTTCAATGTACATTTGCTAATTGTTGTAAATAATGGTAATAAGGTTCAAAAACCACAAACAAGACTATTTGAGATTACTTAACAACTAGACACTGTTTGAGGATAGTATGTCGTGATACAGGCATGCAGTTGTTGATGAACTTGCACCATGAGCTCCACTGCAAAACTAAAGAAGCAATCTTCAATGACCAAACAAATTTGGTTGGTTGACTCAATTTGGGGCGAAGTGTGTAAATTGTATTTTGCCTACATATTTATTTGACATCAAATGTCAGATTTACCTTTAGCACCAATCTAATATAACTAATGCAATAGAAGTCAAATCCCAATGGCATAAAATACAGGCAGGACTGAAGTGAACGGTAATGGAAACTCTTTACAATCAAAGATCACATCCCACTTAGCACATCGCCTTGTCCATTACATCGCTCTCTATCTCCTCAGGACACATGACTTCTGACCCCACTCTCCCCTTCCTTCACAGCTCATCATAGTCCAGTGTGTCCCCTCTACCATGTCCGGTACATCCCTTTCTATTCCCCCTTCTCTGTCCACTGAGACGCGACCTCACACCATCACATCACGGGTCAGCAGCCGACGGGGTTCAAGAAAAAAGGAAAAAAGAGCAACAACAAACGAGAACTGGAAAGGAGCAGCAGAACCCAAATATGACCCTTTTATATTCGTCCCCCCATCCAGACACTGAAGCTGGGTGGCAAAAAAGGACAGTTGCACAGTGCCAAAGTCAATGACCCATATGTTACAACAAAGCCCAAGTTCTTTCTGTGGACTGAGACTGCCACTCTATACACATCACACTATTTCATTTTCAGAGGCTTGATATGTTGGAATAGACTCAATGCAATGATGGTGCCACACTGAGAAAACCCATCAAAAGCTTTGAGACTGTTTACACCCTGCGCCAACATGAGTCTACAGTCGGATCGGATCACGTTCAGGTGTAATCAGTTGCAATCAGTTTACGATCACATGTGAAGGTGGTCCGAGATGGATCTTGACCGTATCCATCACAAGCTGATCCATCACTTTATCCATATCTGCATTCAATTACGAAAGCTGAAATGTGTCTGCTGAACACTGAGTTGCAGGTCAACAAGAAAGCACAAGGTGATTTCAGGTTAATTCCAGGCTCCAAGTGCCATCCTGCACTCTGGGCCGATGAAAGTGTCCAGGACAAGCCAACACCCTTTCATCCATCAACGCAGACGGCTGCCTGTTTTAAACATTTGACAGCATACAATACACTGGAAGTAAACAGGTGAGAAGCCATGCTTACAGTAGATTACCAGAAGTAAAACAGAAATCATGTAACCATTAATATACCCTATTAATATACCCATTGAAACTGTACGGACACAAAGATTTATACACTACAGCAAGTGAAGCAGGGCTAATTAAGCCCTCCGGAGAGCCTATTATAGACCTTTTCTATACCTTTTCTTAATGAAGCATGCAGTACCTCAGTGTTCAATGCCTGCATTGTGCTCAAACAAGCTTATTTTGAAGTGACGACATACCGTCACATCACCCGCCCTTACTGCCCACCGCCACTGGAATCTGTTAGTCTTGTTCCTTGGGGAACAAGTGAACAGCAGAGCCCAATTCAACAACTACAAGCACAAAGAGCAGCCTGGAAATGTACTGAACCCATAGTCTAAAAGAGGAATTCCACCAATATTTTTAAAATTTCTGAATAATTCAATCCTTGAGGGTCATTCAGAGTGGTTTGACGTGAATTGCTTCATTGTAGAGAAAGTTACTGACTCCAATTTCTTTACAGTGGTGGTGATAGGAACCAGGGGTCTCAATGTCTACAGTACAAATACAGCCATTTTATATACTATCCGAATCCACCAGTGGGCCCATGCACGTCTTCTGTTTTTATATGTAATGTTGACAATGGTAAAACGGTCATAAATCTGAAAATATTACGTTTTCCTTGGGGGGACCATTTCGCCTTACATTACCCTGAGTGTATCCCTCCACCATGACCTGATTAAAATAAATAGATTTATTTTAAATACATTTTAAGCCAGAACTTAAACTATCATACAATAACGTGTCATGCATCAGGCAGCATATATCTAACCATTTCATGTCGTTTGGTTCCTATCACCACCACCATGAACAAGCCTGACTCTGTAAGTTTGTCTAGAACAGAGCATTTCACACCAAACCACTCTGACTGACTTTGTTTACATCTCAATCATTTAGTTATATAGGTTAGAACTTTTGAAAAATCGGTGGAGTTCCCCTTTAAAGAAGATGCCAAATCTCTGGGATTCAGGTCTTTCCACACATTAAAACCCTTCGAACTAGACGTTTGGAAGCTTACCAAGCAAACTCAGCTCAGACTAAATCAGGTCTAAGTGGTGTGAAAGTACAGTCTGATGTAAAAACAGACTGGGCTAAGAGTTACACAGCCTGTCTGAGCTAGGCTAGGCTAGGCTAGGCTAAGCTAGGCTAGCACACCTATTCCATAACATTGTAGCCAGCTAGCATAGCACGCTTGCTCAGACACTTCACATCATTAAACCTTCAACCTTCAGCACTTCTGCTCAAATATATTCGCGAAGTGAAACTAAAATAGGTCGAATTTGAGACACTGGAGCTCAATTTCACACCTCAATGCTACACAGCTAACATGAGGCTGAGGTTGTTCGAATTACCCCGTTCCACCTTAAATGGTGCAGCAGTAACACTGTAGCGCCTCAGACACCAGCAAGTCACCTGTGCGCCATTTAAGGTGGAACGGGGTAATTCGAACAAGAAGCTAACCTTAGCTTTGTGCAGCTAACTGTGTTCAGGCCTTCAGGATAACTACGGCAACCGAGACACTGCATGTTTTTGACCAACAACACAGGAATGACCGCTGCTGACACCGTTTTCAGAGCACCGGAGCTCGTATTTGGATGTAAAATGGTTGTACAAGGCCTTAAATGCGCTATTTGAGCGCTGGGTTTCAGTGAATGTGTGTCTGACATCCACGTGTGCCGCTAAGGCTGAGCGAGGAGCCGGTTGTTTATGTTTCACCGAGTCATTTAACTCCTCTAAAGGACCATAAAAGCGGTATGACCGCGGTCACCCGAGCTCGTACACATAAGAACCAAAACGAACGAGGTTTATTTCAGGTTTCAGGTGTGTGTGGGAGCTGCAGTCTAACCTGTTCGCTTATCAGACTCCGGTATTTTGAAGCGCAGGGCGCTTCGGCTTCCGTGGGTCCTCCGAGAAGAAAAATGGTTGGCCAACTGTGATCCGTCGCTGGGGCACACCGCGCCCCCCGTGTGGGTTTGAGAGGATTTAGTCAATCAAATCAAATCGGTGTATCAAAATATGGAAATCTGCTCCTAGATCGACATGTAATCTGTGTGTGTGCACTTTTTCGCAAGTTGTAGGCAGTAAAATCAGGATATAGACTGGAATGAGCAGAGTTTGCTTTCAGTGATGATTCAGTGTTGCTCACAGGGCCGTAAGGATTATCAGCATTCGTTACTCGATTCGATACGATACCGTGGGGTCTCAATTCGGTACATCTTTCGATACAGCCAAAAAAAGAAGTAGCTGAAAGTGCCCAGCGTTGAATTTTATGAATGTATGACATATATTAGCATATCATTGCTGTCCGATCAATAAATGAATGAATGAATGAATGAGTGAGTGAGTGAGTGAGTGAGTGTGTGTTTTTCTTTGGACAGCAGCTTATATCCAACTTATATTTGTACCATATGGACACAAATGTGAAATACATAGCAACTTATGTGAAATTGGCTCAAATATGGGACACATCGTCGCTGTCCAAAGGAAAACAAGTATGTCCAAAACTAACTTTACAGGAGAGGGCAAACATTCTTTCTTTATTCAATGTAAGTTAATGGAAAGAGATTTTATTCTAAGCAATTTTGGAGCATTTCTATTGGTCCAATCATCATGAAATTTTCACACAATGTAAAGGACAACTGCTGAGCTCGAATGATGTAGAAACGTAAAAATCGCAAAAAATGGAGATAAATGTTTTTTTAATGGACAGCGACGATATATTTGAGCCATATATCAACATATCGCTGTTGTTGGATGAGAACCTCATATCTCCAAAATGGTAACTTTACAGGAGAAGGAAAAAACCTACTTTACTTTTAATGCAAGTCAATGGAACCAGACTTTTTTCCAAGTCACTTTGGGCCGTTTCTTTTAGTCCATTCATCATGAAATTTACATACAATGTAAAGAGCAACAGGCATTTTCAAATTATGTCAAAAACTGAAAAACATCAAAAATGGAGATACGAGGTCCGAGAGCAGCGATATGTAAATGTATATTATTAAATACATGCATTGCACATATATGATAGAAAACATTGTATATGGATGGCAAATGTGATATAATGTTTCTTTGCATGTCCTTTGTTTCTTCCTAGTGAAGTGTATATTAATATAATAGCTACATAACTAAACTCTAAAAACATGCACACTACAAGCTGTGCAATAAAATAATTAAAACATGAAATAAATGAAAATATTGTTCCCTGACACATTTAAATTATTTGATCGTTGAAACCAAACAGATAAAATAGTAACAATAACTGTACGGGGATGTATTCAACCATGTATCAGACATATGATTCATAAATGATGCATATATGTGTTCACTCACCTATTAGATATATATGTATGATCCATGTGTGATGCATATATGTCCAATATTTGATACTTACATATATGTACACAACATATATGTACATACGTCTTGAAATATATGCTTGACCCTTTATGATATATGTGCATATATGGCCTTTTATCAGATTTCTGTTTGGGTCTGTTTGACATCAGTATGTTGATGGTTCCATTTTCAGTTTATTAGATCGTTCAGCTCTTAGTAACACTATTACTCTATTAATGCTGCTAATATTTTCTGATAAGAAGTTTCTCCCTAAATGGTGCCTAAAGGTTTCAGCGGCCTGAGGCACCAGAATGTAACTGCTGCACCATTTTAATGTTTGAAAAAGGTGGAAAATTTGAACAAGAAACTGGAGAATAAGAAACTTTGTGTGATTTAAGCTCCCAAAATATCCTGCCTACAGTTTTATGCAGAGCTCTACCTGTAAATATGTGCTTCGGTCAGACATTTGGACAAAGTAGAACAATTTGTCAGAACACCAGTTAGAACTGACTCTTATACAGCCGAGTGATGAGCTACTAAATAAACAGATATAAATATAAAAACTGAAATAAACGATTACTTACAGTGTCATACGTGCACAACAGGTGATAGAATGGAGAAAGCTATGTTTGTTGTTGCTCCTTTTAAAGGGATATTGAAGCTTTCAGTTTCAACTCCGGCTGCTTCTGTGTATACCCTAGCAACGCGTCTGCGCATGCGTATCAGAGGCACAGCTGAAGAGCGGCGCAGAGCGGAGAGTTTAGTACACAGAGAGAGCACTGTTTATTCTGGTTATTCTGGTTTATTGACATTCAGTAATAATTCAGCGTCTGAGGTAACTGGAAGACAAGACCGAGTCCAGATGAGGTAGAGACCGAGATGAGACCAAGTCCGTTAGTTTATGGTCCTGAGACGAAGACCGGACTCAAGTACTACAACACTAATGTTGAGTGTTGTGGGACAGCGTGTTAATTGTTATAGCATTGTGTGCTAGGTATTACAGGACATGGTGTTAGGTATTATGGGATGTGTTACGTATTATGGGACAGTGGGTTATATATTATGGGACAGTGTGTTGGGTATTATAGGACAGTTTGTTAGGTGCTACGGGACAGTGTGTTAGGTATTACGGGACAGTGTGTTAGGTGTTATGGGACATTGTGTCATATATTATGGGACAATGTGTTAGGTACTATGGGACAGTGTGTTATGTGTTATGGGACAGCATGTAAGGTATTATGAGACAGTGTGTTTTATATTGTGGGACAGTGTGTTATATATTATGGAATATTATGTTAGGTACTATGGGACAGTGTGTTTGGTATTATGGGACAGTGTGTTATATATTGTGGAATATTATGTTAGGTACTATGGGACAGTGTGTTTGGTATTATGGGACAGTGTGTTTGGTATCATGGTACAGTATGTTAGGTATTATAGGACAGTGTATTAGGTATTATGGGACAGTGTGTCAGTTATTATGGGACAGTGTGTTGGTATTATGGGACAGTGTGTTGGTATAATGGGACAGTGTGTTAGTTATTACGGGACAGTGTGTTGGTATTATGGGACAGTATGTTAGGTATTATGGGACAGTATATTAGGTATTATGGAGCAGTGTGTTAGGTATTATGGGACAGTGTATTATATATTATGGAATAGTATGTTAGGTACTATGAGGCAGTGTGTTATATATTGTGGGACAGTGTATTATATATTATGGAATAGTATGTTAGGTACTATGGGGCAGTGTGTTACATATCATGAGAATGTGTGTGTTGTGTTATGGGACAGTACATTAGGTATTATATTAAAGTGTGTTATATATTACGGCACTGCATATTAGCTATAAAGGTACAGTGTGTTATATATTATGGTATTGTATGTTAGGTGTTATGGGGCAGTATGTTAGGTATAATGGTACAGTGTATTAGGTATTATGGTACAGTGTGTTAAGTATAATGGTACAGTGTGTTAGGTATAATGGGACAGTGTATTAGGTATTATGGTACAGTGTGTTAAGTATAATGGTACAGTGTATTAGGTATAATAGGACAGTGTGTTAGATATAATGGGACAGTGTATTAGGTATTATGGTACAGTGTGTTAGGTATAATGGTACAGTGTATTAGGTATAATGGGACAGTGTATTAGGTATAATGGGACAGTGTGTTAGATATAATGGGACAGTGTATTAGGTATTATGGTACATTGTGTTAGGTATAATGGGACAGTGTGTTAGGTATAATGGGACAGTTGTTAGGTGTTATGAGTTATCATTCATGCACCTGTGAAATGATAAGTCCTTTCTTTTATTCAGTTTGTCACTAAAATGACTTTTGTAATTTAATGAGCCTATTTACAGCGTCTCCTTTCTCATTTAGAAAGAATGCACTGCTGAGCACCACCTGAGTTTTTTAAAATTCTCCTTGCGCAGAGTAGCTCAATGTGGCTTATAGCTAAGCCTGCTAATAAGATCAGGGTATGGGGAATCTCAGTTTGCTGTGTTAACGAAAGTGAAATGTTAAAGGTGATTTTTCTTTTGCATGGAATAAATATGATTCATAAACTTATCTAAATATTTCGTAGAAACGAGAGCGTCATCTTCCCCACAGGCCCCTGCGTGGCCCCTATCAGATCCTGAGCGCGAGCCTCAGCGACAGATGGAAGCTCCATGTCTGAATGCCATCTGATTTTCTGAGGACGTCTCCATGCGTGTCAGTGGCGCAAAAAAAAGGCCATCAAAAGAGTGGATTGTTGTCTTTCGAAAGGTTACATTCCCCAAAATGAAGTCGGCCACGTTTATCTCTTGCTGGAAAAGTCCGCCATGATGAGCAACTTTAGCGGGAATGAGCGGCTAACCGCGCTAGCCGTCATTGTTTTAAAGAGAAAGCGGAAATCCGGACGGATCCGAGCCCAGTGGGGTGTTGAAGATGGAGTGGAGGCGCTGCGAGCTCTTTCCAATCTCGCATTCCGCGAGGATGTTCTGCATGAGGAAGATTTTTCATTTGGGAAATCAACTCAAATGGCCACCTTCCCCCCTCCTCCGCACGCACTGACGCTGCTGTGGATGCCTCAATGTTATTCAAGTGTAACATTGACCCTCACTGTGCTCTGATCGACTATTTGGGCATACGATTATCATGGAAGTGATAGTTATATGTCTATTTAGATGCTATATACCATCTTAATAGCTATATTGTGGGATGTGGACAGGGAGGTGCTATTCAAGCTGGAAGGAGAGATGTTTTAAACAAGATGCTTTGAAGGTTTTAGGAGAAAGTGAATGTATCAGCAAAGATGTTAACACTTTCTGAAGATGTTGGAAAAGGTTTTTTGCAGGTAAAGAGAGTTTCTTAAGCTAACAAGTCAGCAAAATAGCAAATTTGCGCGGTTTCATAGCTTCTGGAGCTGTGAAAGCTAATTTCGCTAACAAGCGCATAATGTAAACAGCTTAAATCATCACAAACTTGTTTCTGTGTCAGATTTTTAAGTAATCTCAGATAGACTTGCTTATGTGGCGTCTGATAGTGTATGGTGATACTCTTGTCTATAACAATAGACAACTGAACATAGCATAACTAACACTATCAGTAATCCTGAAATCTGATTTTTGTTATTATTTTTCATTTTTCATAGATAACTATGTCATACAGTGTCAGTAAGTCTATTTCAGATTACTTTAAGACATGGCTTGAGACGAGTGTGCTATGATTTACAAATACAGTTTGAACAATGCTAATCAGTCTAGTATTAGCATCCACTGCTTGTTAGCCACATTAGCCTCATCACTCCAGGGCACAACTAGAAGTGGGTAAAGGGTTTTTTTTTAAATGATCTTTTCTTGAGTCAAACTATCCCTTAAAGAGGGGGGCTT